TGACATCAGTCTTGGTGATGATTTTTTTGGATTTGACACCAAAAGCAAAGGCAACAAAAGTAAAAATAAACAAGTGGGACTGCATCAAACTAAAATGCTTCCGCATAGCAAAGGAAACCATCAAAAAAATGAAAAGGCAACCTACTGAATGGGAGAAAATATTTGCAAATCATATATCTGATAAAGTGTTACTATCCAAAATATATAAAGAAATCATACAACTCAATAGCAAAAAAACAATCTGATTAAAAAATTAGCATGGGCCGGCCCCGTGGCGTAGCGGTTAAGTGCGTGTGCTCTGCTGCTGGCGGCCCGGGTTCGGATCCTGGGCGCGCACTGACGCACCGCTTCTCCGGCCATGCTGAGGCCGTGTCCCACATACAGCAACTAGAAGGATGTGCAGCTATGACATACAACTATCTACTGGGGCTTTGGGGGACATAAATAAATAAATAAAATTATTTTAAAAAAAAATTAGCAGAGGATCTGAATAGACATTTTTCCAAAGAAGACATACAGATGGCCAACAGGCACATGGAAAGATGCTCCACATCACTGATCATCAGGGAAATGCAAATCAAAACCACAGTGAGATATCACTTTACATCTATTAGAATGGCTATTATCAAAAAGACAAGAAATAACAAGTGTTGGTGAGGATGTGGAGAAAAGGGAACCCTTGTGCACTGTTGGTGGGAATGTAAATTGGTGCAACCACTATGGAAAACAGTATGGAGGTTCCTCAAAAAATTAAAAATAGAACTACCATAAGATCCAGCAATTCCACTTTTGAGTATTTATCTGAAGAAAATGAAAACACTAATTCAAAAAGATATATGCACCTCATGATCACTGCAGCATTATTTACAATAGCCAAGATGTGGAAACAGCCTAAGTGTCCACCAACAAATAAATGGCTAAAGAAAATGTGATATATATATATATATATATATATACACACACACACACACACACACACACAATGGAATCTTATGTAGATATATGGAATATATTCAGCCATAAAAAAAAGAATGAAATCTTGCCATTTGCAACATCATGGATGGACCTTGGGGGCATTATGCTAAGTGAAATAAGTAAGTCAGACAGAAAAAGACAAATACTCTATGATCTCACTTATACGTGGAGTCTAAAAAGAAAAAAACAAAAAACCAAACTCATACAGAAAACAGATTGGTGGTTGCCAGAGGCTGGGGATGAGGGGGTGGGCAAAATGGGTGAAGAGGGTCAAAAGGTATGAGTTTCCAGTTTGAAATTAGTCATGGGGATGTAATGTACAGCATGATGACTATAGTAATACTGGATTGTATACTTGAAAGTTGCTAAGAGAGTAAATCTTAAAAGTTCTCATCACAAGAAAAAAAGTTTTTGTAACTATGTATGGTGACAAGATGTTAATTAGACTTGTGGTGATCATTTTGCAATATATGCATAGATCAAATCATTATGTTGTACACCTAAAACTAATATAACATTATATGTTAATTATACCTCAATTTAAAATAATGCTTTTCGGGCCGGCCCCGTGGCTTAGCGGTTAAGTGCGCGCGCTCCGCTCCTGGCGGCCCGGTTCGGATCCTGGGCGCGCACCGACGCACCGCTTCTCCGGCCATGCTGAGGCCGTGTCCCACATACAGCAACTAGAAGGATGTGCAGCTATGACATACAACTATCTACTGGGGCTTTGGGGGGAAAATAAATAAATAAATAAAATCTTTAAAAAAATAAAATAAAATAATGCTTTCCATGGATACTGCTATTCCCTTCACCATTGTATTTCTCAAGGCCTTAGTGAAAGGAGGGTCACTGAAGGGTCCTCTTGGGAGACTTAGGGGATCATTAGGATTAAGATGGCCAGACTGCACATAACAAATCCACTCCAATATTCTCATCTTTGTAAATCTTTGAATTCCTTTATATAATTTCGAGGAATGTTTGCGTTCTCAATTGCGTTTATTGTGGGCCAGTATTAAGTCTACATTTCAGTCAACTAATTGAACCAACAAGTAGAATCACTTTCAGCTGCTCAGGCAGCACATTGAACCAGAATCTGTGGCAAGTGTACCCCATCAATCAATTCTGCCCAATCAAAATTACACTCCTCCTTCCTCAGTACACTTTCAGAATCCCTACATTTTTCCTCAGGTTTTGCCAATATAAATGAGCAAAGTTGAGAATTCTCTGGTGGGCATCTTCTCCCAGGTTTGCTTTTTTAATTGTATCCACCACAGCTCCTCTCCATGCTGGAATCTGGTATTACGTGTGTTGAGACAATGAGAAGTAATGTGGGAGGAGCAGGAGGTAAGCTGAGCGATGAAATTAGAGGATCATGGAGCAAGGCAGTAACAGCCTTGTTAGACACGAAAAGCTCCTGCTGTGACTAGCAAGGGGGGACATGTCAACTGTTCTGGTTGCCTGTGGTTGAGGGGTTTCCCAGGACACAGGATTTTAGTACCCAAACCTGAGCTACCGTTCACCCTAGTTTCGAGTATTGCAAGTCCTCGAAAACCCCCTACCCATAGATCCCCATTCCAAATCAAGGTCCTCCTGTTTTCTGGTCAACACGCTTCACCGTTACGTAAGAGTCCTGGTGAGGCTGTGAGGGCAACTCCTGGTATAATTGGGCAACCAGCAGGATTAAGTATGACCTTGGTTTTCAGTTATTTCAGCCTTACAGCAGTAAGAGAGAAGAGACTTCTTTTAGCAACAACACAGGCATTTTTCTAGTTTTTATACCATGCCTTGAGCTGAAAATTTAAGTCTTTGAGCCTAAATGATCTCTCTCTTTACGAATCCATCTCTGTGGAAGCAACTATCCTATCCCACAGTCCTGGATTTCTTCACCCTTTAAACTGTTATGGCAGTAGCCATTTATCAGCAAAAACCTTCCCATTCTTAGATAACACATTCCATCAATTTTTACCCCATGTTTGTGTTTTTGAGGTCCCAAAGAAATTTTGCTACATTTTTATTACCTTTATATTTTTTCCATACATATTTGTGTCTTTAATCCATCTGAAGTCTACCTTTTTATATAGCGTAAGGTAGGGTTCCAGTTTTAATTTTCTCCATGTGGTAGGCCAGTGTTCCCAATCCTTTTACTAAACACTCTATTCTTTATCCGTTGATTTTTGTGCTACCTCTGTAACTCATCTATTCAGGGGGTCTGTCTGGGAGCTTCCTGTTCTAGTCCATTGTTCTATACGTTCTCATGACTTTGATGTATATGCAAATATCTGGAGACTTAGTATGAGCAAAATAATATAAAATATCTCAATAATACTTTTTATATTGATTACATGTTCAAATAATATTTTGGATATGTTGGTTTAAATAAAACATATTATTAATATGAATTCCACTTGTTTCTTCTTTTTATGAGGCCATTAGAAATTACACATGTGGCTCACTCTTTTTTTTCTACTGGACACTGCTGTTCTAGACTGTGGTGAAAAGAACAGACTATGAAGAAAGATAAACATGGATTTAGAGCCCACTTCCTTTACTTATTAGCTCTGTAGAGTTGGTAAGTTACTTAAAATATCTACTTCATAAGGGAATTGTGGGGACTACAATTATACATTAAATAAAATAATGTATATAGAATATATAATACCCAATAAGTAATCGTCCAATCTTGTTTCATTATCTTTCTCTGAGGACAAGGAAGTGGCTCATTCATCACAGTTTACAGCAAATATGACTACACATATGTTAAATGAATGAAGTTCACTCTGCAATTAGCTATCAGAATATTTTTTAAATTCATAATACCCTGTCATATGACCATCAAGACCCAGCATTATCATTTTAAAATGTAATATTTTAAGAGAAAAAAACAATTATTTCATAATTTTATTCATTCACCTTTTCCAATGCTTTAATAAATCTTTGCATAGGTGAATACATTTAGTTAGAGCTACAAGACAACTTGGAAACAGACAAGAAGTAGGTGTTCTGGATCTTTTCAAAATAACTATATTGAGGAAACTCTTGACTAAATGCTACCTTCAGAAATACCCCCCACCCTTTCTACTCACACCTGAAACAATTTGTGTAACCTTCAACTTTCAATAAAATCATTTTATAGTATAGTATATCTTGAACATCTCCTTATACTTTTTAAAAGCATTACTTCAAAAACAGAAAATTCTCCAAATAATTCTACAAATAAATAGCAAATGTTATTGCACCTGAGCTTAAGAATTTAAAATTGGTTCTAGTGCTTCAATTACTAATTTCTAAAGTAAAATCTGAAATTAACATCAATTTCTGGGCTGTAACTACTGATGGTAATTAGAATATTTTAATACCTGATATAAAGATAATTTCTGATATTGAGGAAGTGGTTACAAAACTTTCTCCAAACTCAGAGGCGAGTGAGTTTATTGCAACACAATGAGCTCTGAATTACCCGTTAATCAAGGGGACATTAGGGCAGGTCACTCGAGTGGGAATCCAGCTTGTCTGAGAAACATGCTCTTGCTCCTCTTGTCTCTGGAGATCTTTGTCTCAAGAGGTTGACTCTGCAGGCAGCCCTTTCTCAAGGAGCTTACCTACTCTCCTCTCGGCTCTTCCCACCGCTTAGAACGTGCTTAACTGAAGGCACCAACCTCAGGACGGGGCCACAGTCCACAAAGGCCCTGCAGCAGTAGTATGGCGCTGAAGGATAGGACATTTGGTCAAGGGGAAGAAAGGTGCTTTTAGAAGAGACTGGGGACCCAGGTGATGAGAAGATGTAATAATGGTGAAAGAACAGTAAAATCTACAGCTGCACAAGGCATCGTAAACAGCAATGATCTTTCTTAGAAATATTAGAATTTAGTTGCACAAAAAGAACAAATATAATCTGGGATTGGAATACCTGAGAAGTTATTGTTCTCTAGGCAACAAAGTAAGTGTTGTTTCCATTTCTAGACCTAAATTTATATCTATCTTTATTTAAAAAAAGCAGATTTTCAACAAAACGAACAACAAAAGAATTACGAGTTTTAATGTTGATCATATCAATTTATTACTAATTTTGGTCTTCCCATTAGTTCCCGATATAAAAATGATGAGTTTCTCAGTAGTAGGTACAAGTAGCTTTTATAGGAACTTGGGCAAAATAATTAAGACAGAAATCATAAATAACCAGAACGTAAATGAAACAAAATTGTCTACTGAGATGTTCACACTAAAGTATATTAATATTCTTCCATAAATTTTTAGATTGTTAAAGTGAAATTATCTTAATCTAGCATATTATGAATCATTATAAAAGATTCCAATCTTTAAAAATTATGAAAGATTTCAAGATCTCATTATGGAGTTATAAATGTCAGCTATCATGCTACTGGTCCAGTTTGGTCTGTATCTTCTGGGCCTCTTCAGGCCAAGAATAACAATCAGGTAGGATGTAGTCATAATCAGTGCTGTACATCTGAGAGCGGACAAATGCTTCCTTGTCTGGGGGTTCAGGATAAACTGTGGCTGTCTTTTCTTGGTATGCATCTTTCACAATCTAGAAATAAGAAAATAATATTATTTTAATAAATAGAGGTGACGGTGAGCACATGTCAGAAGTTTTTATCTTTTCAAAAAATTAATTTATATCTTGTCTATTTCTAAAAAAAAATGAGGTTGTATTATAATAAAAGCACGCATACACAAAGAAGATATAAAATGAAAATGCAATTGTAGATCAGATAGCAAGAGGAGAATTTGATATCAGCAACAAAGGAAAAAGGGAATAGGAGAGATTTATTCAGACGTGATCGTACCAGTATTTCTCAGATAAGCCAGTGGTAAAAGACTTGAAATGGCCTGACTGATAATTAACCTGAACTAAATACCTTAGGATTCCTGTGAAGTTTGAACTCAGATACCTTGTAGTTTCAACAATCCCTATTCTGACCACAGCCTTCTACGGAATCTCTGTTTATCCCAGGGTCTCCTGACCTGCTCACCTCACCAGCTGGACCCCGGAGGCAGCCTCACTGCCCTTCGCCAGTATCACAGCATCTCGTCTCCATTTTTCTGTGTCCCACTCACCATTCTAGCCCTGGTCTGGAAATCCCTCAGTGCCAGCTTTCTCTGTTCATGGCTGTCTCCTGCAGTGTCATACTTTTCCTAACCTTACTTGGGCCTATGTGGTTGCACATTATGCTTTTATCTTTGTTTTTTTTTTAAAAAAACAAAACAAAACAAAACATTTTCTCGTAGTTCCCAAAAGTCAATTTCAAACTTTCCCCCTGTCAAGTCTCCGTTTGACACCGCTCATCACTTTACTGAGAAAATTCCAACTAATCAGAGAAAAAATAATCTCAATTCCCTTTTCATCAACTCAGATTGTCTCCTCTATATTGTCAAACATTTTCTCTTCCCCTAATTTCTTTGAGAAAAATGAATTCTCATTCTTGTCAAAATTAATCACTCCATATGTGTTCTTTAATTCACTCCAGTTTTAAAAAAACAATCACTGAGGAGCTACTTGTATGGTAGACTTATTCGCATAAGTCTGATTTTGAAGAGTATTAGAATAAGTTTCTCATCTTAATGTAAAATTATACATTTATGAAAATTTTAGGTTATAAAGACTGTGTCATATTACAGAGAAATGTTTATGATAAAAACAGGAAACAAAAGCATGTATATACCATTACACATCGTTATAACGATGTTAGAAGAAAAGCAAACAAATGAAAAAAGACTGAAAGCAAACAACCAAAATGATAATAATGCTTGTGATAGAAAAGAAGAATATCAGATATTTTCCTCTTCTCTATTTTCCAAAGTGCCTATAATATGGTATTATTACTTTTTTAACAGCTTTTTTGAAGTATAATTCACTGACCACAAAATTGAACCATTTTAAGTGTACAATTTAATTATTTTTGTAAATTTATAGAGTTGTGCAACTGTTACCACATCTAGTTTCAGAACATTTCCATCACCCCAAAAAGATCCTGTGCCTGTGTGCAATGGCTATATTACTTTTATGACACAGTGCACTGTTTCATTCCTGACATGGACTATGTGGAAGTTCATTCCTCTACGTGCTTCCAGGACACACTAGATTAATGATCCTCTCTCTCAGGGAAATCTCCAGTCTCTCCTTCTTGTCAATGCCAACCTCCCTGGAAGAGTGGCTTATATTGTGTTGCTTTCCTAATTCTCCCTGGACTTCTTATACTACTGAAACTGCTTTTGTAAAAGTTTCTGATAACTTCCTAAGTACTAAACAAAAGTCTTCATCTGTTTTTCTCACTAGGATTTGGTTCTGTTCATCACAACTTCCACCACACCCTGAAATTGTGTCCTCTCTAATTTCTGACATGCTGCTCAGTTCTGAGTCTCCTCTTAAAATCCTGATAACTTCCCTTCTTAATTGGCTTCTTTCTTCCATCTTCTAGACAGAATAATAGATTAGGTTCTATCTTCAGTTTCTTTCCTTTCTATACTTGTCCTCTTGGTAATCCCCACCACTCCTGGAGCTTCGCCTGGTACCACACCTGGATGATTCCCACATGTTTATATCTACCCTCTCTAAGTTTCAGTCATTTCCATCTACATGTTAGACGGTACATTTGGATGTGTCATTGACACTTCAAACTTGCAGTCACTTATATCATCTTCCTCCCTGAAGTTGATTCTTTGTCTTGATTTCCCAGTTTCTGTCTATGCACTCAGCATTCTTTCATTACTCTAGGTGTAACATCTGAGTTTTTTGCACTCCCCTGCTGTCCCTTGTTTTCTTACTTTCTCCTCTAATCATATGCTAATTCCTTTTTCTTTAAATCTCCAAAATGAATTTAAAATGATAATGTGCTGTTCAGTGTATTAATAATTCAAACTAATTAAAAACTACTAGATATAAATTAGGAGAAAATATGAGCATACTCTTTCAAAAATAGGTAACCAAGCAGATTATCTACAGTTTTTTTGAAGGATTACTTGGTTTTTGAAGCATCTACTCTCAATCAACAAGATAAATGATGACATATAAATCCTAAATGGTGTTGCTTTGATAAACTTGCTAATAGCTTTGATTTTCAACCAGGAACAGTTTCGCCTCCAAGGGGACACTTGGCAATGTCTGGAGACATTTTTGGTTGTCACAACTATGCAGAGGCTACTGGCATCTAGTGGATAAAGGCCAAGGATGCTGCTAAACATCTGACAATGCCCAGGACAGCCCCACAACAGAGTCATCCAGCCAAAATGTGCGCAGTGCTGAGGTTGAGAAACTTCAGTTTAAACGTATAACTACTATTAGGGGCTCACCTATGTCACCCGAAAATGTTGAAGCCTTAACCCCCAGTACCTCAGAGTGTGACTGTATTTAGAGATCAGGCCTTTAAAAAGGCAATTAAGTTAAAATCAGGCTATTCAGGTGGGCCCTAACCCAAGCTGGCTTGTCTTCTTATAAGAAGGGTAAATTTGGACACACAGAGAGACACCAGGGATGTGCATGTAGACAGGAAAGACCATATGGAGACACAGTGAGAAGGCAGTCATCTACAAGCCAGGGAGAGAGGCCTCTGAAGAAACCAGACCTGCCAACTCCTTAATCTTTGATTTCTAGCCTCCGTAAATGTGAGAAAATACATTTCTGTTGTTTAAGCCACTCAGTCTGTGGTATTTTGTCACGGCAAACCTAGTAAACTAATACAGCTAGATTGCAAAAAAAAAGTCCATTTCTCTCTCATCTTATAGAAAATTTCCCTGCCTTTAGGTTATTCTTGCCTAATTCCTTTAACAGCTCATCTGTCACCCCAACAGCTTTGAGTTCCTTGCCCTCGTTGTTTTGCCTTCTGCTCAATGTAATCAACTGTGATCTTTAGGATGCTGTACATCATGGAGACATGGATGAGGCAGGTGGTTCAAGGTCTACATGTTACTCTGCCATACCTGCAATATTCTGGTGACTATTACAAGTGTGATATGGGAAACACTAACTAAAAAGGTGATGTAGAGGAAACCCAGCTGAAAGGAAACCCTAATGAATTATTTAAATTACAAGAGAGAAAAAGAATGATAGGGAAATTCATGATTCAGACCGATTCTTCCATTCCTAAGGATCTAACAGAGTTCCTAAGCTCTGCCCAGGCACCGGGCCTCATTTCTCTGACTTCTGACATAATAAGTTGATACAGATATTTCAAGGAAGTGGATTTTTAATACCTAAAAATGAATACGTAGCAACAGAAGGGAGGAAAAATAATGAGGCTTGAACAAGAGTAGTTTTACCTTTTCTGCGATTTTCAGAGAAACATCTCTAATGGTGTTCAAAGGAGGATAAAGCCGGCCCTCTTCCAAGTGCTCATCTGACACTTGCTGAGCTATGACCTTAAAAAAAAGAAAGACAAAAATGTTTATACTTCACACCATACAATGGGTTGTTATGAGGATCTCTAGGTGAATGGTCACACACAGAAGCACATCACATTAATATGATCATCTAACTTTGTCTCCCCCTTTATCAAGGAAAAACTGAGCCCAGAGAGGCTTGGTGATTGGTGGGATCACACAATTAGTGAAAAAGATGGGAATACATTCTGAGTTTTCTCTTAATCCAGTTCCTTTTCTACCGTACCATGAAATGCTGGCAGCTCTCCCACTGCATACACTAGAGGAGCAGGGAAGGAGGAATAAGGAAGGCAGAGGGGGACGACAGAAGTGATGGAGAAGGACCTGGAACAGCGAGGAGGGGAGGTGGCCCAGGCCGATCACACCATTACTCCCAGCTCACACCCCCTTGCACAGGAGGCAGAGCAGGAGGCTGAGAAAGCTATTTCAGAGTCATATTGCAAGCAGGGTTTTAAAGTCTTTTTCTAGGTTCATTGAGAAATAACTGACATATATCACTGTATAAGTTTAAGCATACAGCATGATGGTTTGATTTACATATATTGTGAAATGATTACCACACTAGGTTAAACTAACATCCATCTTATATAGATACAATAAAAAGAAACAAATGAAAAAAGAAAAAAAGGAAAAAAATTTTCTCCTTGTGATGAGAACTCTTAGGATTTACTCTCTCAACAACTTTCCAGTGTATCATCCAGCAGTGTTAGCTATAGTCATCACGTGGTACAGTACATCCCTAGTACTATTTGTCTTATAACTGGAAATTTGTACCTTTTGAGGATATTAATTTTACATCGATTCTGGATTAGCTGAATCACCTAACTAGCCTCAGCATTTGCTGTCTCCAAACTATCTCCTATTTCTAAATCAAACAGTGTATACTTAAAAATTTGCTAACAAGGTAGATCTTATACTAAGCATTCTTTCACACACATAAAAAAATAATAATAATAAAGAGGGTAGAAAAAAACTTTTGGAGATGATAGATTTGTTTATCACATAGATTGTGGTGATAGTTTCATAGGTGTATACTTGCCTCCAAACTGATCAAGTTGTATAATTAATTACGTACAGCTTTCTGTATGTCAATCACACCTCAACAAAGTGGTTTAAAAAAATGAGACAAATTGACATTATGCCTCCTGATGTGATACACTGAGAAGGATACAATTATTAGGCATTCAGTAGTCCTAATGAAACCATATAACTTGAACTAAATCAAGAGGAAACCATCAGATAAACCCAAATTGAGGCACATTGTAAAAAACTAGCCAGTACTCTCCAAAATGGCAATGCCATAAAAGAACCAGAAAGGCTGAAGTATTCTTGCAGACTAAAGGATTAGTCTAGAGGCTGTAAAGGTACTTGTTCATAGGTAATTGGTAAAATTTGAATTTACACTGTATATTAGATAACAGTATTATATCATTGTTAAAGTTCCTGAATTGATAATGGTACAGTGATCACATAAGAAAATGTCTTGAAATATTTAGGGGTTAGGGGCAAAATATCTGTAAGTTTCCCACAAATGGTTCAACAATAAAATACTATATATATATAAAATAGGGATAAATTATTGATTGAACCTACTAGGGCACAGAGGTGGACTCAGCAAACTTGAAGTGCCCTCTAGCTCTAAGACTTTCCTTAAGTCTTTCAGTGCAGTGGGTCTAAATCAGTGTATATAGCTGTGTCTTTACTTAATAGAACTGTGGATGAAGAGAGGAAGTAGAAAACCTTCCTCATTTGAGATATTCTGAATAATCAAACACTTATTTTTCAGTATCTTTTAATATCTTTTAGATTTATTTAATCATGAACTATTTCTCAAACATTGTTTTGTTGCCATCAGCAAATATGAAAGATATAACACTACAGAGAGGTTAAAAAAGCAGTTCCTGCCCCTGAGAGGTGTATAATTTAGTGAGGTAACAGGGTATAGGAAGAAAAAAGAGAATACTGAAAGAGAAGACAGCCTAGGCTAAAGGTGAAGTGTGAGTATTAAGAAATCCAGAGGGACCGTGAAGGGAGCATGAGTGTGGAATTGAAGGAAAGCCAGGAGTTGGACAAACAGGAAAGGGGTGGCACTCCAGAATGAAGCCAGATTCAGACCAAATGCATGACGTGGACTCGGTGAGCCCCAGTGTCCAGCTCTGGGGGAGCAGAGGGCTTGTGTAGAGAAGCAAGGATTGGAGCATTGTCAATACCAAATTGAGGAGTTTGGGTTACATCCTATGAGGACTTCTGAATAAGGATATTTAAGCAGGGGTTAAGGGGGGGTGGGGAAAGGGAGATGAAGTTGTTAGCATAACTGCTATTTGATTAATATTACATATACAAAATATTATATAATTACAATTACAGAGTGTTCGTCATAAGTAATTTTATAATAAACACACTATTTAACTCATTTATTTCTTGCACTTGTAACAGGACGTAGAGTAAAAATTTCCTTTGCCCTAGAATTGGTGACCAGGGCCCCAAACTTTTTTTCTCTCTTCCCCTCTTGTTAGTGCATGCCATCTCTTCTTGAAAGCTTGAGGTGCCTTCCAGAAGGAGAGGTTGGCACTCTGTTCCCCATTTGGCCTGAACAGTTACAGATGTGTTTACGTAAGTAGAGGAGAAGAGAGTGGAAGGCAGAGAAAGACAGAGAGGGGCGGCTGTGGAGCAGCGTGCACTCCCATCACTGGATATGGTAAGAACGCATGAGTTTCCAAGGCTGAGCGACCACGGCAGAGGAGGATCTCGCAGGCTGGGAAAACGGAGGGAGAAGAAGGAGGCTGCACTGAGCCAGACCTCTCATGTCAGAGAACGCTGCCACAGAAGGTCCCGAGGGGTCCTCGGAACTCTTGTACATGTGCCCCAGGAGACAGCCAGATTTTGGACCTTGCCACAGAGGGTTTCATGGCCTAAAATAGTGAAGAGTTAATAAAAGAGATGCTTTCCCTTTTCCATACCCTTCGTTCCTATTTCCAACACATTTGAGGAAGCAGGCTTTGATGAGAGCGGGGAGGAAGTTTTTCAGAGCCTAGCCACACTCTTTCCCCCAAACTTCTCAAGGTGCTGGTGTCGAAGGAAGAGTGAAAGAGAAGACGGTTCTTCCCTACCTGCTACTGCAGCCCTCTTATACTGCAGGAAGAAGAGATGATATTTGAACTGGATACAAATTTTGACCTGGACAGATGTTTAATTATTGTTCACTAACATATCCCCAGTACTGCGAATTATGCCTAGCACATGGTAGGTACTTAACTAATACTTGTTAAAAGAATGAGTGAATTGAAAATGAACTGCAAGTTACTGAGATGCCATTAAGAGAAAGAAAAGGGAGATTTGATGGAGAATTATTTAAAACAGTGATTGGGGAGAAATTCCGCATTGAATTTAGGCCACTTAAAAATTCTTGTTATTCCTTGCTGCTCTGCAAAGGACTTGTGGCAGATTTAAATCAGTTGGCATTTCTTAGATGTTACAGCAAAAACTTTTGTGGGTGTATCTGGTATTGCTGTCTCACTGGGTAAGGAGACACAAGCAGCAGGGTCTTGAAAAGATGTAACGGCACGGCGGCTGGAAGCTCAGGCTTCGGCGCGAGGTGACCCACCTCCAAATTCTGACGGCACCAATTTCTTTGTTTGAATTTGGGAAAATTAATTAATCTTACTGAGCCTAATTTTCTCTTTGGTGATGTAAGATTAATAACAGTTCCTAATTTATAGGATTAAATTAAATAAATGCTACTGAAGAATTTACCACACCGTCTGGGAAAAAAAGTGTTCAATAAATCTCAGCTATTTCATTTTAAAAAGAACAGGTAGGCAGCCAGCATGGCAGGGTGGAAGCACAATAGTTTTTGGCGTCAGATCTAGCTCTACAACATATTAGCTTATTAGCTATTTGATTTGGAGGCAAGTTACATACCCAACCAATTTCAAGTGTTTTCAATCTTTTAAATGAGATAATACGTATATTGCTCCTATCACATTGGCACATTGCTGGTATTAAACATCATTGTTTTCTCTCCAGAATGTTACACGATATCATTTTAAAGAGACTGGGGATAGTCAGAAGATGGCTGAATAAAGAGGAATCACTCTGAATCTTTGCTCTCCACATATGCCTGTCATACACAGAGGGAGCCAAGAAATTGTGGAATGGAGCCAAGTAGCAAACAGGTGACCACGGGGAGCCTACTGTTAGGAACCAAACCACTAAAATGTCAGGGACTGATCCTGGGGGAAAGGAGACCGTATACCAGAGTCTTAGTCTCACTCTTGTCCATTGGCTCACTCATTCAAAAACTATTGCTGCTTTTGATATGCTATTGGGGTCTCTCTCTTTAACTACATTGTGGCTGCTTTCAAATCACCTCTGTTTGATTTTGACAGTGTTATGGCAGCTGGATTTTCAGTTATCCAGCGACTTGAATGAATCGGTTTCCTCCAGATGCTGTTGTCGGTGGTGATCGTCTCTAGTGTCCTCTGGGCAGATGTCAGAAAGTGGTGGGGTCGGGGGATGAGAGGACACAAAGCAGGTGCTTCAGGAGGAGTTGTGTGAGCACAGGAGGCCAAGGTTTGCCTCCCAGATGTGGATAGGAGGTGGAGTCTGTTCCCAGGCTGCTGTACAGAGCACACAGGACCAGGAGGGCTCACCCGGGGGAGCACCAGGGGCTCTCATCAGAAGTCCTGAAGACTGTCCAGAGTACCAGGAAAGCCAAAAATCTCTTCATGACATAAAAATGTCCAAGATAGTCTTTGGGATTGGTGCCAATCCATGAGATTTCTAGTTCCATAAGAGACCCAACTAGTATTTTGACAACAATCCTAACAGTTATTAAATTTGATATTGACAAACAAAAAATCCACCTGGATCCCCTATATGTTACTTTTGTTAACTACAACATATAACCTAGACAGGAAGGATTTTCCTCTTTTTTGGGGTCTCTAGCAGTGAGTATCTGTGATATTGTATTTATTCTTCTTGCTAAGATATATGACTAGTTCTTTTTTTTTTTTTCTGAGGAAGATTCACCCTGAGGTAATATCTGTTGTCAATCTTCCTCTTTTTGCTTGAGGAAGATTCACCCTGAGCCAATATCTGCACCAATCTTCTCTATTTTATATGTGAGTCACCGCCACAGCATGGCTGATGAGTGGTATAGGTCCACACCCAGGAATTGAACCCAGGGTGCCAAACTGGAGCATGCCGAATTTAACCACCAGGCCACAGGGCCAGCCCTGACTAGTTCTATTTAATTCAATTCAGTAAGTATTTACTAGATTTCTGTTACATGCTTTAGCATTGTGCTAAGTGCTACTCGTGTTTAGAAAGAAGTATAAGGAAGACTCTCTGTCTTTAAAGAAGGTAATTCATAACTTAATTATAAAGCAACACTTAATTGTTTAAAATATGAAGCTTTCAAGAGCATGATACAACTAGGAATAAAATTAAATGTGCAAGTGTTTGATAAAGACAGCCATGGCTAAAGAGAAAGAGCCAGATGAGCCAGAGTAGTCACAGAAGGATTCAAGGATGCGGTGGGACCGAAGCAGTGACCTGAAGGAGAGGCTCAGACAGGTAGGGAATAATTCCCAGAGTTCTCCAGGCAGGATAATAGATAGAGCAGTGACGTGGGGGTACGTATGCACGGCGTGTTTGAAGGCTTCAGGAGGAGGGAGAAGGAAAACAATATCAGGCTTCTAAGCTTTGGTGCCTGCTTAGAAAGTGGGTGTCACTGATAGAAACGGGAATATTGAGAGTGATGGAAGATGAGATGTATGGTTTTACATATCTTGTGTTTCAGAAAATATCAGGGCATTTCTGTGGAAATATCCATCCCATCAGGTAACTGGAGATATGGTAAAAGATGAGAACAGCGATACACAGATTTAGCCACTTCTAGAATGAAGATAATGGAAGCAAGAGAATGGGTGAGATCTCTGAAAGCATAAGAAAAAGGGAAGAAAAAAGTGAGGACAAAAAAAAATGCATGCTAGAAAATTGCTGCTGGTTAAGAGACAGGAAAAGGAGACAAAGACAGCAATGAGGCGGTATGAGAAACAGAAACGTTGTGTTGAAGGCTAAGAGAAAACCAGTGGAACGGCCAAAAGATTTAGCTGGAGAGATCACTAGCTAGATAAGAATAACCACATTTTATTTTTTTGTTCAGAGTTTTTTGGTAGTGATTATTACTTTTCCTGGATAGTAACTGGAAAGAGTCTTTTCATGAAATTCGTCACTAGAGGGTGCTAGGGTTATGCAGGAGAGAAAACACTGGCTTGCATAAGCAAAAGATCATTGTTTTTCTTCTGACGTGTCTGCTCTAAAAGACAATGATTACATCTTCCTTATTGTAAGAACAACTTTGAAAAGCTCTCTTAGTAATTAGCCATCTATTTGTGTTTAACAAGATTTTTTTGAGTTTAAGAAACACAGACATCAGCTGTCATGCTTTAATGCAGTGAAGAAAAAGGAGCGGAACATTACAGCTTCCAGGCATCTGCTCACAGACGGATGCCAAGTGCTCAACACTGGGATTATGTTCCTTTAGATCACATCAATTACACAAGAATCTGTCTATATCCTCAGAGTTCCTCGTCACAATGGAAAGAATAGTATGTTTGCATGATGAAATATTGGAACATTAACCAATTTTTATTTGGTTCAGTTGAGTTATGATGCTGTACAGCAGTTTAATTTTAAGAAGAAATTCACTCAAATTTCTCATTCATGAATTGCATCTTCTTCCAACATGATATCAACCAGATGAACATTCTGATTTTGATTTTCATGAACATGAAAGCTCACGGTTTCATAAATCTATGTCCAAATGCTGCACCACCCCCGAGGCTTGGGGGGCAAGGGGAGCTGAGGGGAACCTGAAGCTCATGGTACCTCCCGTGCCACGAGTAATAAGTCCTTTGTCTCTGACCTAAGAGTCTTGTGTCTTTTGCCAGCATCTATGAAACCGTGGCAGGCTAACTTGTTAGCTTGCAAGTAGGGTAAAATTTCAGATCCTTCATAGTTCTTAACAGTTCGAGCATCCCTAGTGGGTTTGCTCTGTTGTGTTCTGAGAATCTTTCCTGCAGGCCCACACTAGAGCCCATTTTTGTCCTTTTAATGACTTTATAAACATCTAATTTCCTGTTTTAGTTTCTTTTCTGCTTAAAATACTAGAGTGGTTTCTGTTTTCTGCACTGAACCCTGAATGATAAACACTTCTTCACTATACCAAATTAGACTTTCATTTTAAATCTTCAAAATGCCATTATTTAGAAAGGTTCTCATTGGAGAAATATTTACCACTTAACCCACGATTTGGAAACAAAACTTTTAATTGTGTCATTACTGTCACAGAATTTGATTGGAAATGTGAAGATAAAAAAGGGTTTCTTTTAAAAAATCAGAATACAACTCTTCTGCTGGATACTGAAGAAAAATATCTTTTACTAGTGACTCAATATAAACCTACTACCCAACCACTATTATCCACTGGGAAAGATTTTGTCTTCTTCAGACTTGACACCTTCTAGGGAGTGAGCTGAGATGCCAGATAAATAAAGGATTAGACAACCTACACCGAACTCATTTGGTATTTTATAGCCTTGGCGAACTTAAGAGTATTTTACAATACCTTGGCAGTAGTAAGAAAAATCTTATCAGTGATATGCCTCAATCCACACGCCACAACACCAAGAGCAACTCCAGGAAACACGTAGGAGTTGTTGCCTTGGCCAGGATACAGGGTCTGTCCATCCGGAAGAGTGACTGGATCAAAAGGACTGCCACTGGCAAAAATTGCACGCCCCTACAACACAGACACACAACTTTAAAAAGAAGCAAGATATGTTAAAACAAATGCATCATAACAGAACTGAGCCATAGTTCAAGTATTGTGTATTTAGAAAGAAGCTAGGTTTTCAATAACTCCCTAATAAGTCTGGGCAAGCTTTTATGATGGCAGCAATAAGCTCTGAAGTGGGTGATTATTACTGCTCTCCATCTTACTCTCTACTTTAGGGCAAGTGTGCAAAGCACACGATACCCCAAGACCACCACTCTGGTCTCTGCAGTGGTCCAAACTCATAGGCCTATCAACCATTTCTACATAGGCTTCCCATTATAGACTTCTGAAGATAAAAATGGTAGGTTAATATTAGAGTATTGGAAAGAATAACATTTTAGGTTAGAGTTTAGAGATCAACACATTTCAACATAACCAGTGGGACAAATTTTATATATTTCTATATTGTAAAGAATTACATGGAAAATCATATAGGAAACAAACTCATTAGCACAAGTGGGATTAGCCAATAAGAGGAATATTGAATTGTCAATCATTGCCAAAAATTGTCTTTATTTTTTTCTAATTTTAATATTTTGTCTTAATGTTTTTGAGGAACCTCATGTATTACGTGCTCTAAGATGGCATTAACTCAGGGCCGCATTCCATACTACTAATCAAAAGAGGGGCATCTGTCTGACCCGTGAGGGTGAGGGTAGAGGTATATTGAGAGCACTCAGGTTTCTAAAATAGGAATAGGAAACCATCAACAAATAAAACATCTACAATCTAAAAAATGCATCTGAAAAGTCTAAAGCACCAAATCCCCAAAGTATAGCTTAAATGATGATAGACTGGGTTGTAACTTTCATCCTTCTTATATCTAGAGTCTAAATCCATTATGATATTCATAATATTAACTTATTCATTTTTTTAATGCCATAATATACCTTTTGTATAAGGGTAAAATTATATAATATGATTCAACTTTATTCAGGATATAAAAAGATGAAAACAGATGAGAAAGAAAATAGAAATTCTCATCTAGGTGTCTAGAAGACCCTGTTATGTTTTGCACAAAATTAGGTTTTGTTTTTAGACAAGTCTGATATCTTTAGCTCTGTTTAGCAGATAAAATGTTTTATTATAAGCAATCCTCTAATGTAACTAAATTATTATTTGATATACATATTTGATATATACCTTTGAAAATTCTATTTGAGAAAGAAACTTGTGACATTCTATACATGCTTGTTTATCTCTTGATCTCCGGCCTTTCCTTCACTCCCACTCCTCCCGCCTATTGTTCTATAATCTTCATATTTCACAGAGGAATGGCATTAAATAAATGATGTTTAACTTAACATTCTCATATATATGTATTGTTAATACGGAGAAGGAAATTTCTGCATACCATGTTTGGTATAACTATAGCTTTTCACGGTTCAATAACCTTTTTAAAAGTATTTTGTATTTTCAACCTTTCCTAACAACTTTTCACCTGTGCCTGCAGCTGCAGAGACTCATGTCCATAACAGGTAGACCTTTTCTTGTTCCATAATCCTATGGCTGAATCAGTGTTTAAATTTTCTGCCTCAAAATGACTTTCAATTTTATGTGTAACAGCAGAGAACATTAGGCAAGATGATAAGAAAGAGTTCAGGCCATTTATATCAGACACATTCAAACTTAAAAATACTTCTCTATAAATTTGACTAATCTTGTTTCTGTCTATTACAGGTGAGTCTATAAACTCTTGAGGCCTATTGAGATATCCCAAAACAAAATAACTACTTAAACGCTTATTTATTATGTGCCTACCATGAGCAATGAACCATGCTAAAATTTTGTTATTGCTCAGAGGGTGTTTTTCCTCCTTGAAAGACTTAAGGACTCCTGAAGAATGTGAGGCAAATTCCCCAATCTAGAGATGGGATAAAAATTTAAATTATTGAGAACATTAATGGCATTCCAGACAAGAGAGATAAACAATGGAGTAGCTCCTTGCCAAAATTTCATTAATTCTAGTAATAAGCATTTAAGGATATAATATCAAAGAAGTGGAGCCATCAAGTTCTGATTTGTGCAGTGACATAACTTTGTGTCCTGTTTACCTTTTCTAGTTCATTTTGGATTTATTTCCAAAATAAAAGTTTTAGATATATATGACTCAACCTCTATTTTGTTGTAATGACATTTTCAAGTCTTTGAAGGGAAAGAAGGCTCTTGCCAACATATCAGTCAAATATAAACTAATATAAACATAGTATAAACATTACATATAAACAAAATAAGTCACTTCTTTGAAAACAGTAAAGTACTGAAGCTTTGAGGACTCCTATCCCAACCCAGCTGGATGTCAAAATAGCTGCCCAAATGCTCCACCCATGGCATCAAAATCCAAACCCAGAATTTAGCAAAGCAAAAATAAGATTGTGGTTTTATACTATATGCTTCAATGTTTGGGAATAGCTACTTAAAAGTTATTTTAATAAGCATCTAGAATCAAGGTTTTTCCTTTTTGACTTTTATGTTTAAATCTTAGATACTTCCAAATCACTGAAGGTAAATCATCAATAAAATATTACAAAGTTTATTTTGTTTTATTGAAGAAAAGGATTTATACAACAACACTCTAGAAAAGGAAATAGATCTCATCACTTCTGAACTGTTCACTTTTCTTTCAGCCTTGGTTGTATAATTTTTAAAGGATAAGTAGCAAGCACCTTAGAAACCCAGAGCTTCCCTATAATGAATCAAAATTGGATTATAAGATATCAGTTATACTTTTGCTTTACCTTGGTTAGTTTATAGCACTGCTCTGCAGTACATTCTGCTTTGCTAGTTGGATTACTCAAAGCAAAAATAATAGGCCGTTCATTGAAGGCAGCCATATCTTTGAGAATTTGTTCTGAGAATGCACCACCAATTGCAGCAACTCCTAATGTAGAAATGAGAAACCAGTGAATAGGACCATCGTTGGTTAATAATCCAAGAAGCTCATGCCCAAAACCCAACAAGACATGTCAGGTTATTTTCTAGTAGACCCTAAATAAAATACAGAATATTTGTATTAAAGTCACAAAAAGAGATGTTTGTAAACACCAACAATCTTTAGGGTCACAAATCTACAAGTATCTATTAAAAAATAGCACATACAACATTTGACTCATAATACATTGAGTTAGTGACTAATCACTAGGAATTCTGATTAAAGGCATTTATACCAGAAATTAAAATGCGTCCAATGTTATAAACAATTCTGTGAGTATAGTTCAGTCTCTCAGGCTATACAGTAATTATGTTTTAGAAACCAGTGCTAACACTTAAGACAATACCTGATTCAATTGTAAAACTAAAGGATGACTCATTGAAAGAATTTTAACAGAAGAATATAGCAATTGAAATAATGGAAATGAAAAATAAGTAATATTCCTGATAGAACATATTTTGTAAAAAACACCAAAAAAGGCTTACTAAGGTTCCTGTCATGGAGTAAGGATTTGTCTTTGTTATGGTTATCAACATTATTCTCAATATTGTCTTCTGTTTCACAAGAGTTTCTAGGAATGGAGTATGATACAAAGCACGTCTGACGTTATATACACACAAAATAAGGGATAAAGTTTCATAACTTCCTTTGAGTTTTTTTCAACTACATTGACTGTATTAAACACCTTACTGTGCATATGCAATGTATAAGCTACTGTATTAAGTGCTATGAGGAATGTAAAGATACATGAAATATGGTCCCTGTCTTGAAGGAGAGTATAGTTCAGTGTTTCTCAACCTTGATGCTATTAACATTTTGAGTGGGATAATTTCTTGTTGGGGGGGCTTTCCTGTGCATTGTAGGACGTTGAGCAGCATTCCGAGCCTCTGCCCACCAGATGTCAATAGCCCTGACCTCCCCGTCTCCCCTATTTGTGACAACCAAAAATGTCTCCAGACATTGCCAAATGTTTCCTTGGGGGCCAAATCACTCCTATTTGAGAGCCACTGTCTATCTGGAGTAATTAAGCCTGGTAAAGTGCTGAATATGCGAGGTACTAACAGATTGACAGAGTTAGCAGAGGGCCACTCACTTCATCTGGGATCGGTAAGATTAAGAAGACAGCACCGAATTTACAAATCTAGGTATCTATGGGGTCTTGTTGCTTCAGTGAATATGTATTTTGTTTGTGAATTCCAAAGGTTAGGATTTCAAAAAAGTAAATAATGCCTCAAAAATCAGCAATAAGAAAACGAAGCAGGCTAAAATGGGGTGGAGGTGGGGCTTATGGGAGAGAGGGAAAAGAAGTTTACCTATGAGGGCAGTTGGTTTTATATTTTGAACAATGGCTTCTAAGTTTTTCATTTCTTCATGTTCATGGGCAAATTCCTCCTTCTCTTGTGTTAAGGCAGCACGTCCCTAAGTAAAGCAAATAAGAAGAAAGGATAAATCTGCCAGACATATGTGCGTCAAAGAAATTTCAGAATATTACACATATTACCAGTATTTATGCTTAACATTTTTATATGTTATGTTTTATGGCTGTTCTTAAAGTCTTTTCTCCAATTATCAAAGTATTATTTCATTCATTCTTCCAACAAATATTTATGTCTCAGACAATGTTCGAGGCAATGGGGATATAACAGTGAACAAATAAAGTCTTTCCTTTATTTAACTATTATTTAATACTAAAATCCTAATTCTACAGACATTTGTGAGAACCTGTCATTAATAAATGGTAATGCAAAAATGTCATGGAAATAAAGATACTGTTTGCTAGACATTATTTGTGTTAACAGAGTAGTGTCTTAGAATGAGAGTTAACTTTAGCTGCAGCACTACCAATTGATTAAGAATGGAACTCGATGCCATATTTATATCATAGTTTGATTTTCTGAATTAGTACTAGCTTTCTATGTTTTTATTTTTAATGTTCTGATTATGAATGTGCCACGTGTTATCTAGGAAACATCTAATTGTAATATTCTAGCTGCAAATTTTTAAGATTTTGACTACATAATAAATCACTGCCTAACTTTATAATGTACTTTATGACTTATAAATTGTTTTAACATATTTCATTTGATCCCCTCAACAATTCTGAGAAGTAGAGCAACTGTAATTAGAGTCATTTTGGAAGAGGAAACAGAGGCTCTGAGATGATAAGCAACTTGCCCAATGCAGGTACTGGAACTCAGTTTTTCCACTAATATAGCACAGTACAGCTCTGAAGAAAAAACTTTACAAATGGTATATGTCAGATTGTTTGCAAACTGTTAATCCTGAAAATGGCACAATTTTATGGTTTTAAAAGGTTATTATCATTTTATTTATTTTTAAAAGTAATACATGGGTCAGCATCACAGCAGCATGAGAAGTTCCCTTCCTCTCCTGCCTTCAATCTACAACTAGTAAAACATCCATAACTCAACAAAGGTTCCTCTGCCCAGCACACCAGGACTCCGGAGAGATCCACACATCTGTACATCTGAAGTTGGGTAGACTGGAATACACAGAGGAGGTGGAACTGGGGGAACAGCGGAAGCAGTGCCCGCGTTCCCAGCCCCTGGCCATGGCAGCTAAGCCCGTAGTCCCAGGGAACCCAGTAGCAGCAGCAGAAGCAGCGCACATGACTCCTGCCTCCTGGCTGCAGTGGCACCTGTGGCCACAGGGAACCAGGAAGCAGTGGCAATGAGGCCTGCCACCCTTGTCCCTCCAGCCACGGTGGCACCTGCCACTCTGGGCTGCCATCCCCACTGTGTGCATGACCCCAATAACCCCAGATGCAGTGGAGGCACTGGAGACTCTGACTCTCCCACTGCCATGCGGCAGTGCCCCTATCCAAGCAACCCCCAATGTGGTGGAGGCACCCACCATCCCAGTGCCCCCAATGGCAACACCAGCAACTTCAGCAACACCGGCAGTAGTAAGGCACCATTGACCCTAGAGGCACAAGCAGTGATGAGGAGGGTACTGGTGACACCTCTGGCAGAGGTGATGGAGGGTGGAAAGTGCCAATTCTCAAATATAGCCAGAGGCAGCTTGGGTCAAATAAACCAAAACTTGCACTATAGTGGCCACCTACTGAAAAACAAAACAAAGGCCTCCAATTTACAACCTGTTGAATTGTTAGAATCAAAGTAAACAAAGCTGTACATAAACAAGAAAGGTGTTCCCTACTTCAAATCCACTGGCAGAGGACCAACTCAGGCAGAACCATGAAAAATCACAGTAACACGATATTGCACACACACACAAAACACAACACTCCAGAAACCAAACTTGAAGTCAAGAAAAATTGTGATCTAACTGATAGAGAATTCAAAATAGCTGTCATGAAGAAACTCAACAGGCTACAAGAAAACTCAGAAATGCAGTTCAATGAGCTCAGGAATAAAATTAATGAACAGAACGAATACTTTACCAAAGAGATTGAAACTCTAAAAAAGAATCAAACAGAAATTCTGGAGCTGAAGAACTCAATAAATGAGATGAACAATGCAGTAGAAAACAATGAACATAGAGCAGACCATATGGAAGAAGAATTAGTGAGCTTTAAGACAGAAATCTAGAAATGATTTAGGTAGAAGAGGAGAACTAAAATTTTTTTAAAAATGAAAAAACTCTATAAGAATCATTTGACTCCATTAGAAAAAGGTAACATAAGGATAATGGGTATCCCAGTAAGAGAAGAGAGGAAGAAGGGAGCAGAAAACTTATTTAAAGAAATAATAGCTGAGAATTTCCAAACCTGGGAAAGGAATTAGATATACAAGTCCATAAAGCTAAAAGAACACCTAATTATCGCAACATAAAAAGACCTTTTCCAAACACATGACATTAAAACTGTCAAAAGTCAATGATAGAAAAAGATTTTTAAAGGCAGCCAGGGAAAAAAAGACAGTAACCTACAAAGAAACTCCCTCTAGGCCATCAGCAGATTTCTCAGCAGAAACTATACAGGCCAGGAGAGAGTGGAATGACATACTCAAAATAGAAAGATAAAAACTGTCAGCCAAGAATACTCTATCTAGCAAAGTTATCCTTCAGATATGAAGGAGAAATAAAGGCTTTCCAAGACAAACAAAAGCTGAGAAAGTTCATCACCACAGACCTGCCTCACAAAAAAATGTTGAAAGGAGCTCTTCTACTTGAAACAAAAAGGCAAAAGTATACATATTAGCGAGAACAGCTTCCTAAGAAGAGAAATCACCATTAGTCATTTCTGGGTTTTAAAAGATTATTATCTTACCTTTTCTTCCTTGCACATCAAAATATACTACATTTGATAGCATTAACTCCCAAGTAAAAATGAGGTTCAAAAATAGTTCACTCTAGGGGCTGGCCCAGTGGCACAAGTGGTTAAGTGTGCACGCTCTGCTGCAGCAGCCCGGGGTTCACCGGTTCAGATCCTGGGCGTGCACCAATGCGCTACATGTAGAGCCACGCTGTGGCAGCGTCCCATATAAAGCAGAGGAAGATGGGCACAGATGTTAGCTCAGGGCCAATCTTCCTCAGCAAAAAAGAGGAGGATTGGCATCAGATGTTAGCTCAGTGCTGATCTCCCTCACGAAAAAAAAAAAATAGTCCACTCTAACAGTTTGGTGGTTACCAGAGGGAAGGGGTTTGGGGGGTGGGCACAAGGGGTGAAGGGGTGCATTTATATGGTGACTGACAAATGATAATGTACAAGTGAAATTTCACAATGTTATAAACTATTATGACCTCAATTAAAAAAAATATTTCACTCTAAAAAAAAATATACTACATTTGAGATGCTGTGAAAAATAATCTTATTTAACACTAACTGGAAAAGATATATGCACCCCCATGTTCATTGCAGCATTATTTATAATAGTCAAGACATGGAAGCAACCTAAGTGTCCATCGATGAACAAACAGACAACGAAACTGTGGTATGTATATATACAATGAATATTATTCAGCCATAAAACAGAAGGAAATCTTGCTATTTGTGACAACATGGATGGACCTGGAGGGTATTATGCTAAGAGAAGTAAATCAGACAGAGAAAGACATATACCACATGATCTCACTTATTTGTGAAATCTAAAAAAACAAACCAAAAAACTGAACTCACAGATACAGAGAACAGACTGGTAGTTGCCAGAGGCAGGGGATGGGAACTGAGCAAAATGGGTGAAGGGGTTCAAAACGTACAAAATTCCAGTTATAAAATAAATAAGTCCTAGGGATGTAATGTACAGCATGGTGACTATAGTTAATAATACTGTATTGTATATTTGAAAGTTGCTAAGAGAGTAGATATTAAAAATTCTCATCACAGGAAAAAATATTTTGTAACTGTGTGGTGATAGATATTAACTAGTTATTGTGGTGATCATTTGGCAATATATACAAATATCGAATCATTATGTTGTATATCTGAAATTAATATAATGTTATGTGTCAATTATATCTCAATTTTAAAAAATCTTAATTCAAAATCAAATTTGAAGCTCACTGTTTCATATTCAATTTAGGAGAGAATATTGTAGTTTCTAGTAATATTAGGTTAAATAGTGTTAGTCCATATTCTTGTTCATCATGTTTATTAAAGAAAAAAATTAGTCAAAACAATCATATAAATTCATTTTCTACTTTTATCAGAAAGCAGCAAATTGTTCAACAAAACCTATCTATTACAGCCTTTTTAGAATTAGTCATAGATCTAACAACAAATAGTTGATCTAAACCTAGACTGATTTTGTGAGTAAACACTAAATATTCTCAACGGTTCTTTTGCATTTATAAGATTTTTAAAAATTGCCTTTTAATAATATAAAAAATCTATGACAATACTGAAATCTTTATAATTCTCACTAAATTCGGGGGGGGCTACCTGGTGCCCCCATCCTCACAGCTGGGAAATATATTTCATTTACATATCTCAATCACAGAGATTAATTAAGCATCATCCTAGCATGCAAAAAGTGGCTAGCCTTAATGATAATTTATTAGTCACAAACAAGAAAACAGGTATTTGGTGTGCCACAGAATTCCCCTGAAATATTTTGATAATTCACATTTTGATTTAAGCCCCAATTCCTCATCATCCCTTTCCTGTACCAATGTTCTTTGCAATGTAACTTCACAGTTCCTTTCACAAAAAGGCAGGGTATGCTTCCTACCCCTTGTCTTTGGATTTGAACATGTGGCTTGCTTTGGTCAATAAAGTGTGGGCTGAAATGAGAGTGCACCAGTTCCAAGTTCAGGCCTTAAGAGGAAACAGTGTTTCTGCTTGCTCTGTCGTGCGTTTGCCATTGCTTTAGAAGTGCATGACCCAGGTTGTCTGCTGGTCCACGGAGGATGAGAGCCTTGTGAAGCCGACCTGGACCCAACCTGTAGCTTAAAGCCACCCAGCCAACATCATCTGACCCACAGGCACGTGAGAAATA